TCAAAACTAAACAAACTTCACATCAGAAATACATTTGAACTTCCTTTTCTAAAGTGGATTTAGAAAACCTTGACTCGACCCTGTGAAACGTGGCTTAAAATTCTAATCTTTTGTCGGGGAGGTGTGTTTGTTCACCTCCACCTCCAACCCTTTCAAAGTTCCAATCCTTCTGCTAATGTCCCTATGCCACGTAGTTTTCAGCTGAACTAGCGTAGATGTCCAGTCCATGTGCGCTTTGGACGTGTTGCAGAGTGAAAAAACACGCTATTTGGACGATTCGTAATCTAATCAAATTCCGCATAGGAATATCAGGGGATCTTTCTGGCGATTTATTCCATAACATATTCGAATGAAGCTTCTTCCAGGGCTGTTTGTCTCAGAATAGTGAAAAAGCTCTACTCTCGGTAACAGAACAATCAAAAGCCACATTGCCATCTTCACGCATTCTTTTTTCCGACATCCTTAAACATAGTACTTGCGTGACACACAGAGAAGACAACTAAGGTAAATTATAGCGAGTTTCATGAACTCAAAATGTCTTTTATGATTAGAAGCAGGTTACCCTGCATCTATAATTTTTAATTCGTTGAGCAAAACTTTGTTTGAAGTGATCATTGAGATGGACCATACGATTTCAAATTCGGCTGCTGGGAGCGTAAAGAAGGATTCCAATATCAGGAATGGCTAGTTTGAGAACAGGAATAGTAACTTTGGGGGAACGTCAATCTTGTTGCTTTTACACATCTTCCACTGATGACATCTCGTTATGAAGACGGTTAAAATGTTTCCATTCCATGCGTGATACATACGGGACACCTGAGTGAGAGTGGAGAAGTCAGTGTGACCAGAAACCAAGACAGTGCCATACATTCACACTGGTCAACTTGTTTATCTGAATGGGCTGAGCAGTGCTCAGGCGTCTGTCATGAATTAGGACAAAGCGAGAAGGCAGGTGACCGCTGGGCCAACCAATGGTACGTCAAAGCAAATAGTCAGATCGCTTAACTGCCAAATCAACATCACAACAGCCTTCTTTGAGTTAATCATCCATCATTTGTAGGACTGTATATCTCCGTGATTAAAATAAGTTCACCATATTAACATACTACATGGTCTGTGAATTTGCGTGCTTCAACAGTGAACTGGAAATGTGTTTGGTCAAACTTAAAGTTTGCGAAACCACGTCATCAAGAACACCCTAAGCGGACCGATAAGCTTCAAATAAATACTTGTAAACTTCACCCCTAAATTTTAGGCCCACATTGAGTCTGCGAACTCCCGCACCCAGCCTATTGATCACCATTACGGACACTTCGGTTTGAGGGAACGCAATACACTGATGAAGTTGTTCAAAATGCTCACAATCGCTTTATTTGCACAAGCGTATTTGCTTCTTGCAATTAGACAAAATTTTGAGTAAAGTGCTCCACGAGAAACAGCAAGAACTTTACTCCTCCCTTGGTAAAGTGATCTGGATCCGTTCTTGTTTCAAGCACATTTATGCCACGCCACGGGCCAATTTGGTGATCGCGAAATGCTCGGGACCTTCAGATGTAGGCGTTGTGCGGCAGGTGAAGCGTGCGCACTGGCCGATTGGTGTCAGAGGTCTATGTCAACTGTATGGTACGTCCATTTTGATAGAAAGCGTGTAATAGTGTTGGACAAAGCGGAGACAGAGAATGCGTGCCTAACTTTGATCAAATAGCCTAAGTGAATGTGTTTGACTAGTGGTATTTCGGATTGCAGGTCAGATGCGTATTGCACTTCGTCACTGCTAAATTACTCATTGTGTTGGCTCATATTCCAACATATAAATAGCTACACGACAGGCTTCTATAATGCAGGTCGGGACAGTTGGACGGTCCCAAGTAGTATAAGTAAATCATGGAAAAATTCCGCTAAATGTGAGTGCGGTAAGTGAGACAGATTAACCCTTGTTATAAAGAAAAAAGTGCTGAACACTGGAAGACTATGGATCTTGAGACAGCCAACGTATAAGCAGTGCATCATGCAAATAGTAGGCCTCGTTTCGCCGTTGATAGCTTTGACACTATTATGCAGAAGAGAGTGGAGAAGTCAGTGTGACCAGAAACCAAGACAGTGCCATACATTCACACTGGTCAACTTGTTTATCTGAATGGGCTGAGCAGTGCTCAGGCGTCTGTCATGAATTAGGACAAAGCGAGAAGGCAGGTGACCGCTGGGCCAACCAATGGTACGTCAAAGCAAATAGTCAGATCGCTTAACTGCCAAATCAACATCACAACAGCCTTCTTTGAGTTAATCATCCATCATTTGTAGGACTGTATATCTCCGTGATTAAAATAAGTTCACCATATTAACATACTACATGGTCTGTGAATTTGCGTGCTTCAACAGTGAACTGGAAATGTGTTTGGTCAAACTTAAAGTTTGCGAAACCACGTCATCAAGAACACCCTAAGCGGACCGATAAGCTTCAAATAAATACTTGTAAACTTCACCCCTAAATTTTAGGCCCACATTGAGTCTGCGAACTCCCGCACCCAGCCTATTGATCACCATTACGGACACTTCGGTTTGAGGGAACGCAATACACTGATGAAGTTGTTCAAAATGCTCACAATCGCTTTATTTGCACAAGCGTATTTGCTTCTTGCAATTAGACAAAATTTTGAGTAAAGTGCTCCACGAGAAACAGCAAGAACTTTACTCCTCCCTTGGTAAAGTGATCTGGATCCGTTCTTGTTTCAAGCACATTTATGCCACGCCACGGGCCAATTTGGTGATCGCGAAATGCTCGGGACCTTCAGATGTAGGCGTTGTGCGGCAGGTGAAGCGTGCGCACTGGCCGATTGGTGTCAGAGGTCTATGTCAACTGTATGGTACGTCCATTTTGATAGAAAGCGTGTAATAGTGTTGGACAAAGCGGAGACAGAGAATGCGTGCCTAACTTTGATCAAATAGCTTAAGTGAATGTGTTTGACTAGTGGTATTTCGGATTGCAGGTCAGATGCGTATTGCACTTCGTCACTGCTAAATTACTCATTGTGTTGGCTCATATTCCAACATATAAATAGCTACACGACAGGCTTCTATAATGCAGGTCGGGACAGTTGGACGGTCCCAAGTAGTATAAGTAAATCATGGAAAAATTCCGCTAAATGTGAGTGCGGTAAGTGAGACAGATTAACCCTTGTTATAAAGAAAAAAGTGCTGAACACTGGAAGACTATGGATCTTGAGACAGCCAACGTATAAGCAGTGCATCATGCAAATAGTAGGCCTCGTTTCGCCGTTGATAGCTTTGACACTATTATGCAGAACTGGATTGGATGAAATAACCAACACAAATACTCATTTTTGGGTCTCTACTGGATGATAGTACTTCGTAGAATTTGGTATTGATAAGTATGTATTATCCACGAAGTTTCCATGAAATGATATTTCCATTCCTACTCATTTCAACGCATTTCCGTTAATTCGAATTGACTTAAAAGTGCCTCGTGTCACTCAACGGAAGCTTTTATTGATGTTCCCAGTACCCTAACATCGCTAGTTTATCACAGCCTGAGTTCCAAGTGGTTGCACGTGATTCTATGACGGCTCATACCATACATGCCAGGTTGCATAAACTATTATCATTTGTGATAGTTACCAGCTGATGACATCTCGGCTGTCCGTCGGGCCCATTGATTCACCAAACTTTTGACGATCTTGAGTTTGCCTTTTAAAGTGTACACAGTGATGCATGCGGACAATAAATCTACTGAAAATACAGTAATAGAATTACTGACTGAGCAAATTTGATTTTTTTATCGCTTCCCGTGCAGAATATACATCAAGTTGATTTCTAGTTAAATCGATGGTCGGCCCATTTGCAATGCATCCTCGGAAGGGGTGAAAACGCAAGAAAAGTTATGAACCTCATCCAAATAGGCAACAATCAGCGGACAGTGTACAATAACAGCACGTTTGGCACAGTCCACTTTTCCCTGATTGTGTCCTGAACGTTTGTTTGTACAGATTCCACACTACGTTCCCAACAGAATTGCGACTACGTTGCTGGGACATCATTTCGAATTCAAGTTGTGTTTAAAAGATATTAAGTTTCGCGATTTGATGGGTTTGTTGGTTATTGAGGGGTTATCTTGAAACATGCACGTTTTGGTTTGCAAAACATCATTCGATTCAAGGAGGTCAATGGAGGGCGCAAACCATACACAAAATAAATGAAATGCGCAGTGCTGCTTATTGAGTAGTGTCATCAGTGGCAAGGGTTGACTGTCTCAGGGGTGAAAAGTCTGGTGGCAAATTTGTAATATTCATTGATGTACCAACGGTGGTTTGCCACTTTGTTTTATTACGGGACGTGAGGGCCGGTGCCTATTGAGACGTTTGACACAATTCACGTGCTGACTGAGGTGGTTTTTCTTACAAATGGATTGAAACTGTATCTCGTATCGCTTTCGCCACAGGCTTATTCCAATAGCCACAACTATATTGATTGTTGATCATTTAGGGAAACCCAATCACTTCAGTCGTCAACATTATCCGGAGACATTTGTCTCCTCTCGAGCAGCCACACCCTCGCTACGACGGACACCGTCTGGCCTCATGATGGACGTCCTTTATTGTATCCTCCTGAAAGGCTGTCAGTATGCATCCGAAATGACATTAAGCTATTTACGCTTCAAACCGCAATGTAAAACCCCATATATACCTTGATTAGGTTACAGACCGGGACGTCACACAGAAAACCCTTAACTTAGGGATCACGATTCCTAAGCCTTCGGCTTTTGAAGTGTTGTTTACCGTAAGGCGGTAATAATCAAACGACTAACACGGATAGTCAAGTGGTCAAAAAATGCGTAACTATGAAAAAAATACCAGAAGAAAAGGGGAGGCAAGATCTTACCAACTGTTCAAGAATCATTGAATCGATTTACCTGTGCACCACATTCCATTTCTCAACAGACCTGATCCATAGGATTCAGTAATAAGATCAATTCGAACACGCACCCTGTAAGAACTTTAGTCTTTCTGGTATTGGCAGACATAGTTCACCACTCAGACAGGTAATGCCTGTCACTCATTGGGAGTTTTCACTTTTTTGAAAGTTATCCTTCAGAAAATGATTCAGTGGTCGGTTGTTGTCTTGTCCGCAATGCGTGACAGCTGATTTGCATCGTCCGATGAGAAATTTCTGGTGAATTGTTGGGTGCGTTTCTGTTCTTCTCTTGTGTTTGTGTTCATACGGTTTAGACAAGAACAGTCCAAATTTCTAATGTGTTTTGCCGGTGGTTATTTCTGTCCCATGGCTACTTACTGGTCTGTGTAGATTCATGCTGCGTTCATCTTGGTTGATCAGCTTATCAGACGCCGTAATTTTCAGTAGTTTTCACTCTGGTCAAAATGGTCCCTCTAAGACTTGCCGTGCATCTTGGCTTGGAAGTGTTTTAATTCCTTGGTCGTTCCACTTGGTACGTTGTTTATTCTTATTTGTACGTCTGACGTATCTTGTGCGTTGTTCTATGGAATCCATTCGTCTCGATTGGTTGTTTCACTCCTGATGTTGTGTAGTCTTTGTGGTTTATTTGATGTATGTGTGACGTCCTGATCGCTGGTGTAGTGCCTCCTGTTGACATGAGTTTTGACCTCTCCACCCCCTTTGGTTGCGTTCAAGCCATAAAATTCCCGCGTGAGTTGTTGCATGACCTCATGTATTGAGGTTCTGGAAAACTTCCAAACGTGCTGGTTGATAATTTGGCTCAATATCTGCATGGTTATTGATCGCTTTCCTGACAAAACGCCGATAATCGATAAATCTTCGTTCTCCCATTTTTTGTTTGGGCTGTTTCCTGTGGGTCGTTCCAATTCGATCGATGTCTGTGTTAGTCTTCGTAAACAGAAACGAACGATAATTGACCTTGTCGTCTGCACGCAAGCTGATGTCCCTGCATTCTGACTTACTTAAAGCGATCTCCGTCCATTGCATCGAATCTCATACATCCAGCTGTTCATGTGCAACTGATATTCGTTACCAAAGATGACTGTTTCTATTTAGCATCCAGGAGTTGGCGGACCATTCTACCTCTCATCTTGTCCTCGTATCTTCGCTGTATCCTACATTATCGTTTGCTTAGCTGGACATTCGTGTAATCACCGAGGCAGTTCTCGCCGTAGTGCGTGACTAGTTTGTATTTTTCCATATATCTGTGTTTGCGTTTATCCGACGTGGCACCAATCTTTCCGGCCACATATATTACACTTTGTCATACATACGATTCTGCCGTTTCCTTCTTTCCCGCGTTCAGGTCATACGTATTCAGGATCAGACCAACAGTCCTAAAAAATTTACTGAGCCAAGAAGCACACACACCACCATCACCAATGGTAATGCAAAAGTCGAGGTCACTGAATGCACGGCAGGTCACAGCATCAAGTATGCATGAGTTTCTACCACAGATTCACACAACTAAAACTCGAGTATCTGGTCCTTTGTGGAATTTTACTGATCAGAGCAAACAGGATTTTCGTTCAGGTCCACTTAGGTAAAATTGGCTCTACCCGACCAGTTTTTTGGTCTGCTTCCGTGATGGGACCAATTTTCAGGTCCTCTGGTTTGCTTCTGTGATCGTTGGGAGTAACTTGAATGCAAACATCAAACCAGACAACAACTAGGCCCTACAAAGTGTTGAAGATGTGTGGGATCACCGATGCATGGCGCCAACCTGCATGAGCTAAACGCATTATTCATTGTAGTATTTATGCCATGATCCGATTTCGTAGTAGAATCCGGAATTAGTTTTGAAGCTACGTGTAGCTCAACAGGCGAAAAGTGAACAACATTTCAGGAGTTCGTACCACTCTTTTGAGTCACCTGAATATGATGCACTGTGTTATATATACATATACATACACATATATGTATATATTTCTACAAGATTAGTTGTCCCATGCAGGCACATACCAATAAGCACAATCAGTATGCGAATGAGTCATTCTGGAAGAGAAATGGAACTTGGGAATACGGGCTGAGATGGCAAATAGTTTTGGTGTTCACACAAACTGGGATTTAAAATTGATGTGCTATCAAACCAAAGATGAAGGTGAAAAAACTAGAATGCCTTGAAAATAACTGTAAGTTGTTAACTGTACCCAGTAAAGGTTGACGTAAGTTGGTTTTTGCGGTACGTGAGTCGAAATTCGAACCGAAAGGGACTTGATGGAGCTGCCGGGCATGGTTTGAACAACCTGTTTCACGGCTTCCCAGGTCCGGTGTTAAGCTGAGTCCGCCAAAAGAAGTCAACAAAATCTGAGCTTGTTTAGATTTCATGGAAGACAAATATATGCGCTGGGTGGTAGATAGTTGGCTGTTCAACAGTGAGTTGTTCTGATGAAACAACAATGAGGAAAAGGGGAGTTAGTTAGTGGAGCCATTTAGGAGAGCGTTATAGGGCGATCGTACGATTCAGTCTGTTAACAAGGTACAAGTAATCGGAGTATGAAAGCGGTAGAGTTGTTAAAAAACACCGTCTATCATTCTGAAAATCTAGCTTAGGTTGTCAACAGGCATTACACAATCACCTCTGCCTCTATAGGAACTGTCTGTGATGTGCTTCTCTAGGGGATCACTAGTGTGACTGAATTGTACTCATGCATTTCCAGTGCTCAGCTTAAGTGACTAGCTCTTACTGTGAAGTCCGAATGGCTGCACATCTGACTCTCTGCACATCGTATCCTTAAGCGACGAATCACTTATCCACTTTGGGGTTCTTCGCAAGTTACAAAATTATGGTGTTCCATGAACTCAGTAATAAAATCACCACTGGGCCTACCTGTCGATTCTAAGCATCAAGTTTGACGAACCGGTTAAATTGGACCTTCATGTTCCGGAATTTGAAGAAATGTCATCGCATAAGACATTTTTTATATCAGCGTTGCAATTATTTCAGTTATGTGCTGATGACTAGTTCTGGTAACAACACTGAGTTCGCTCAGAGCGTTACTGCACAATCTGACGGCGACAGTAAGAATGCATTCAGGCTGCTAGGCTGAATACTACATTCCGGTGGTGCGAATACCAGCCGAGCAGGTTTAAATCAACCAACCGGATTCTACTATCACACTTGCCAATTTTTTAGCTGAGACATTTAACTGTCATGCCAGTTTCAAGTCTCATCTTGTACAAGTCATGCAAAACCTCTCGCTGTTTGGTCTCGTCATCTTGGTTGTATGCTGTTCGAGCCGAACACTAGGTATGTCTCAAGCCATTTATCCACGAAAATCTTTTAACTCACCTCTAGCCCAACTTTTTTCTATATACGATCGATATTAATCGAATCTGTTTTTATTACCTCTCACAGAAACGGAAGTGCGGATGTTGGTCTCCAACTCTCCACGAGGACCGTTCAAACCATGCACTGCGGTATGTTCGGTTTCCGGGTGTTTGGGAATCGGCTGTTGCTTTCTATATAGCCAGATTGTAGCTCTGATCAGACAGCATCTTTTCAAACTGAAGTAAAGGCTCCATTTGAAAATTGTTTCCCGCAAATCTACTAACGGGTTGCGTTTCAAGAAACATCCCCTAAATCTCTATATCCACTGTCGGATTCGGCAAGTTTAATTCGAATGAAAAAGGTATGAATTCACTTGGTAAGGCTAGGATCCTCAACCACCAGAAATCACCTGACACCCAAAGTTGGGTTGAGGTCGAGAAAATCAACTGAGGGAAATCGGACCAATTTATCCAATAGGAGATGGTTTTGTCATTGGCGAGTCGATCTAAAGTTTTGAGTGAGTGATCCCTACTCGGTTTCAGCTTGGTAAGGCTAAATGACTGCTTTTGAAATTTTTGGTTTTTCGCTCACTCTTTATTTCACATAGTTGGAGAATCTTTCTTTGAAACAATGGACTAATCGAACCTTCTCTGGTTGTGCTTTTGAACGGATGACCTTTCATAAGGACCTACGAGTCGAGATGCAGTTCCAAATTGACGTCGCAGTTAACCTGCTTCCTCCGGAATATCGGAACTTGAGTTTCCCGTATTTTGTTTGGTATGTGAATCGGCTACTGAATAAGAACGACTCCAGCTGTCCGACGGCTACCGGGAAAAGACGTCAAGCGACAAATTACGGTAGGCAAATCTGTTTATACATAAGTGCATTCTGTGGTTAGCATTACTGTCAGGTATTGCCTCATTCTTAGCGGCTCCTTTGCTCTTTTCCAGAGGCCATGTCGAATTACAAGGGTAAGTGCAGATTGCTTTACACTGAACTCAGTGAAGTGATCTTGGATCGACCATCTGGTGCGAAGCCCCAATTAGAATGCTCAAAACGGTTAGACCTACATTTTGTGTACACCGTTACCTGGCAAATTTCGCGACTCGCTAGAAACCCTCATATGAATTTTAGAAATGTGCATTTACAAGCCAGTTACTAGAAAATAGTTCACTTCACTAAATGTTCGAACGGGGATATTTGGAGGTTTTTAACGATTACTTTACTCGGTGGGTTAATCCTCAACAAGTGGTCACGTGTTAACTGGCTCCTCGAGTGACGAATTCTCAGGTGTAGGATTATTGCCGTGATTTATTTTGTTAAGTATTCTTCCTCCGAGGTACTTTAGCGGCGCAATACCTTCTCTAAATGGGAGCTAATCATATTACTTGGCCAGCCACTTGTGGACGAACGGTTAAGTGTTTAAACTACTAGTCGGAATGTCGCAGGTTCGAGAATTCTCGGAGTTTCGTGAGATGCGCACAGCCGACGATCACCAATAAGAATGAAATATCCATACAGTACTTTCCAGCGTTTTGGCGTGGGCTGGCTTCATTCACAGGACTAAATCGCTATTGAGGCTAGAGGCCGAACGGATTGCCTTGGGTTGTGGTGAGTACGATTGTTAAATTGCCGTCATAAAGTTGGTATCACCAACTGATGGATTCAGGATCTCACCAGCTAGATGTGGTCGGCACAGTATTTGAACAAAAGATTCCAAACACAACATTCCGAAGTGCATTTTTAAACCACCTTAACTATGCGAAATCTACACTGAT